CCTCAAATCAAAACACCGCCGTCTCCTTCCGCTTCGTGGGTGACGTAAGCGTAAGTGCATTGTCACAGTAATGCAAAAATCATTGCGAAAAAACGTGACATGAACTTTAAAATGAATTAATAGAGGCTTCGAGGCAGAGGATTTTGCCTCGATGATTTTTTGTAATCGAGTTACTCGAATTACTCGAGGAATCGTTTCAGCCCTAAATGCATCCAACTCAATGTTCAATAAACATGTTAAGTGCATATATATTCCCTTTTTTCTTAAGTCTGTTTGCTCATGCAAAATTAAATGTGATTAATATAGATTAAAAATGAATGATATTTAATCATGATTAATCAAAATTAATCCACAGGAACCATGTGATTAATCTGATTAAAAAATTTTATCATTTGACAGCACTAGTATTTACATATATGAATAGGTTAGACACAGCCTTCTGTTAAATGAAAGAGGCTGCCGTACACGCCACAATTCCAGAATCTCTTCTGACCCTGCTAATTACTGGATAGGGCCTCTATCTGGCCTTGTCTGTGTGCCACTGGCTTCCGTTGTAATGCTAACAGCTCAGGAGAAGTTGCTTGGCTTGGCTTGCAGCTTGGTCCTGTGATGTTCACTCATCCACGTGCGAGTTTACATCGAGGAACATAGCTGCTTTGGAAAGAGTCCTCACTGCCTTTAGTGTGTCTGGTCATACAGGTTCACCTGTGTTTGGGTGGGTTAATCATGCCCTGCAGAAGAATGGATACACAATGAAAATATGGCAGCCCTGTATGAGAGTTATCAAGTGATAAAGATTTTGATTGTTCTGGCAGTGTCAAATGGCACATTGTTTACATGTAGTGTTGCCATTCTAACTTCATCCTCCGAACCATTTAACATTCTCCTCTTCATCAATTTCCTGATCTTCATATGAGACTGACAATTTACTCAGTTTCAGAATTGATGGACCTCTTAACCTATGGCCTGTGAACTCACTCGCAGTCCGTTTGCTGTAGAGCAAAGCTCATTGAAATGGTGTTTCAGTAGTTGGGGTGAAACTCTAGATAGTTTTTATTTCCATTTATATGTAGATCTAAGTATGTGGTTGAGGAACTGGATTTGTATTTACAGTTACAGCATGAATTCCTCTTCTCTCAAGTAATTGCTGCTCAATCCTAGGTGGAAAGCATCTACTGAGAAGTACACCTTTTGTATATGACAGGGCTGATCCCAAACATGATGATAACCCGCCTTTGGGACTCAGAGTAGTCCAGCCTACTCTGGCTATGATTGGCCGAGAGAATGCTCCTTTATGCTGCCTTCTTCCCAGTAGACATACATTCATTCAAACTCTGGGTATATCTTCCTTGTGACACATGAATAACACAATACACATTCAGAGTGTGGGGTGGTTTCGTATATAATTTGAATACCCATTTGTCCTCTATCGGGCAAGGGCCTGCCTTTGTTTTGTAGTTCCTTTTTTGCTATTCTACCAAGACTTATGCCAGCATCATGATGAAATGATACTTCCTTAATTTTTTGGCTCTCCTCCTGTCACACAGTATCTGCACTTTCTCCCTGTTTAAGGACCTCACAATGATGTCATTATGTTTGAACGTGGCCTGCGAAATTGTTTTGGCGCTGCTTTAACCTTGTGGGAAATTGCTCCATATTTACTTTACATCAGACTGACAATGAGTAAATGCTTCACCGTGAGCCACTGGCCGGTTGCAACAACATTACTGTAATTATGTTGTTTTGCATGCCTGTGTCTAAGTTTCAGAATAATAACAAACCTAGCCCAGCCTGCTTATGAGGATCAAACCTGCTTTTACATGGTGCACCTCTCTGTTAAGAACACCGAATCCCTATGTGATGAATCCCCAGTCAGAACTATGTGAGATTATGAATAGGTGAAGAGGCTCAGCTCTAGGGCTTGATGATGCTGTTTTTAAGTACATGTCCTTGTTTTCATTTGGAATTTATTTCTACACTGCTCTGGAAGGACAGCTCTTTCTAGGTCTTTTGTTGTTTGTCATACATCTGTATCCATTCTTCTCTTTTTAGAGGGTCCACATTGTTGCAGAGGGGCCTCTTGCTAGGATGATGTTTATTCCCTATCTCATTGAATGCCAATGGCTTATAAATGTAAACCTCCTGTTCATACACTATATGACATCTAAATCCATAGGCCTCAGTTTGGAGTTGGTCCCCCCCTTAGAAGCTGTAACAACTACCATTCTTCTGAGAAGGCTTTCCACAAGATTTTTTCTTTTTGTTATGCCTATCAAGACATTTTGGACAACTCTATGCTTCCAGCTCTATGGGAAAAGGGAAGGCCCTTTTCTGTTCCAACATGACTGTGCCCCAGTGCACAAAGCAAGGTCCATAAATGCGTGGTTGGATGAATTTGGTGTGGAACAACTTGATTGGCTTGCACAGAGCCCTGACCTCAACCCAATCAAATGCCTTTGGAATGAACTAGAACAGAGATCGCGAGCAAGGCCTTCAGGTCCAACATCAGTGCCTGACCTCACAAATACTGTTCTGGACAAATGGGCAAAAATTTCCACAGACACACTCCAAAATCTTGTGGAAAGCCTTCCCAAAAGAGTGGCAACTGTTATAGCTGCAAAGAGGGGACAAACTCCATGTTGATGCCTATAAGTTTAAAATGGGATGTCATTAAAATTCTTGTGGGTGTAATGGCCAGGTGTCCCAATACTTTTATCCATACAGTGTATCTTGATATGTTTCCTGGCCTGCTGTTCATGCATAAGGCTCTGCATTTCTCTTATGTCTGGCCACCATCCCCTGGTGCAGGTACGGAGATGTTGGAACCTGGAAGCTGTAGCTGATTGGACTGACTGACAGAGTGGGCTCCAGGCGGGAAGGTTGTACCTCCTCACCATGGGAGACGGGGACCTGGGTGCCAGGGGTGAGGGGCTGAACCACTCCCATGTCCTGTTTGACCGCTTCGTCCAGGCCTCCACCTGCAAGGGCACACTCAAGGCCTTTCAGGAGCTGTGTGATTTCCTGGACCTCAAACCCAGCGAGTACCGCATCTTTTATCACAAGCTAAAGTCCAGGCTCAACTATTGGAAGGCCAAGGCCCTCTGGGCCAAATTAGATAAACGGGCCTCTCACAAGGACTACAAGAAGGGTCGTGCGTGTGCCAACTCCAGGGTAAGTGGTCAGGATCATCTGCCCATTTTTCATCCTTTATCATTGGGGGGGGGTTTAGTAGTTAATTAGTAGATAATTGTAACACCCAGTTCTAGTAATCTGTGTTACCGTATTGTTATCACATTTCATGTTTATCTGTAAATTGGTAACTTTGTTATCCTTATGTTTTTTAATGCTATAGCCTAGTATTTCACATTCTAAGCATTTTACTTTTGGGCTGGGGCATCATTATAGTGCATAATGCGCATGATTATGTATGAGTATGCAACTAAAACCTTGTTTAAAAACCCATTTAAAGCTCAGAAAGGGGCTGTGATTGGTCATGCTGATTCTTCATTCTGAACTGATGAAATCATGGAATAGACTGCATCGTAATTAAATCACAATAAATTTAATCACTCAACAGATGTGTTTTAACTAATGTGGTATTGCTTTTGATTAATTTGTCAGTTCAAATAGCTAGAGAGATTTCAGCTTAGGATTCGCCTATAGAAGACTGTACTAGGTAGTCTTTTGGTCACCTATCTGCAATCACAACTTAGTTTAGCTGTTCCTATGAAGACTCGAACCCACCCCTGTTTCCATCAGTACGTGCCTCTGCTTGGCTTGCCTACAGTGCCTGATCATTGGCGCGGGGCCATGCGGCTTGAGGACGGCCATCGAACTGGGCTTCCTGGGGGCCAAGGTGGTCCTTCTCGAGAAGAGAGATGCCTTCTCACGCAACAATGTACTCCACCTCTGGCCCTTTACCATCCAGGACTTGCGTGGCCTGGGGGCCAAGAAGTTCTATGGGAAGTTCTGTGCTGGTTCCATAGATCACATCAGTAAGTCTTTCTTTCATTTGGCTAAGCATTTTCATTGACACATCAAACTCATGCTAACCCATGCATCTAGCTGAGGCAGAGGTTGCTGGGATTGCTTCACTGAGAGAGAGTGGTGTAAATTATTTTAGCTTTAAATGGTTCAGTAAGAAGTTATTCTCTGGTAAGTAATAGTTAATTTGGTTATTTTAAAAGTTTAATTTGTAGGTTTTTATCTCTCCGGCTCTATTTGATAATTAAAAAGTTCAGTTTCAACATAAGTGTTAACCTTCTGGGGACAAGGGCATCGTTGGCGATGCCACGTATCTTATCTTTCTTGTGTATTTCAGTTCATAACTCGCTGAAATCTTATTGTAGAAACATGAAAAAAAACGCTGACTAAATCCGTAATCTGTCTTCTTTTCAAAATGTCCATTGTTTGAAGTATTACATTTTTTTAAATTAGGTCAAATAGGCAAAAAGTAAACCATGTCACCTTTCTTTGTTTTACCTGCATCGGGGCGTGTAGTACCGCCCTCGCTATTTGCATTCTAAATAGCCACATTACCGCATATTCAAATCGCATTCAGATAGTAATTTGGTGAACAACGCAACAGTGAAGCGCAATCCAGATACTGTACATCCCCATCAGCACCATGAAAGGGGGGGAGGATGTGGCCAGGTGTGAATGGCTCATGCATACACATGATTCATGGCATGATCCTACGTATTCAATGGAAGGAGGCCAGAAATACTGACATGAGTTAGGTTTTTCTTGTTTATTTATCCAACTGAATGTTGCAACTACAACATTTAGTCATCTTCATGTACCCAAGACTTTGGTGATCAGATATCTTAGATCAAAACAAACTGCCACCATTGCTTACTATGTACTCTTATAATGTTTCTGCAAGTGTTCCAAAATGCATTTTGCAATGTCTGTACTTTTATGTCAAATTACAAACTTGATAAATCTGACATATTTACAACGTACATTAAAATTAATATGAGTGTAATGCCAAAACAAATATATAAGAAATAATTTATTTGCCATGAATTAAGTTTATGATATTGAATGAAATGTGTGACCATGCCCCAGTCAGTGAAAGTGTGTTCCCTACCCCTAGACCCCAGAGGGTTAACCATATGTTAATTAAATCAACTAAAGAGTTTAATACTGTATATAAATATGCTGTGCTGGGAGCAAGGGACGGGGTCATAGTGAGATGGTTAATTATGGGGTCAGCTCAGTGTTGTAATTACGAGATGTTTACCCTTCTGGATGCTTGCGTCCAGTTGGACTTCATCTGCGAGCGATATCAGCTGGTAGACTCACTCATGGTCTAGGAGAGCAACTGCCTCTTATCCGACACAACACGGAGTTAGAAGAGATAGTGTGTACACCACAAATGGGGAGGGTGGAGAATGAAGAACAGAGAGGTCGAGAGAGCTTGGTGACCGTAGGTCATAGACGTAAGAAAGGACACACACACTCTACAGAGGTGGCATCACCTGAACTGACCGTGTCAAACCGCTTTCAGGTGCTTCCAGCCCAATTATACTCCCAAATTGACTAAGAGGGGACATGATATAGATATGTAAGATTTTAACAGGTCTGGATGCTATTCAACCAAATAATTACTAAAAGAACTCTTGGCCATAGGTGGAAATTAACTGGAGAACATTCTAAACTGAATTTGAGAGAGTACTTTTTTTAAACAGAGTGTAGTTAGAATATGGAATAGTCTTCTTGTTTGTGTCATTGAAGCTAAAATCTTGAATTCCTTTAAATCAGAGCTAGATAAGAATTTAACAACTCTGAGCTATTAGTTGAGTTCTCCCCAAACAAGTTTGATGAGCCCAATGGCCTCCTCTCATTGGTAAATTTCTTGTGTTCTTATGTTCTTATTTTGATTCTCAAGATTTTTGAGTTTCTACGACCTGCAGGACATAAGCAGTTACCTTATTATATGACTAGTAGTGATTGTTTATTAATACCTTATTAGTTAAACATGTGACTGGTAGTGATTAGAGAAATGTCACGTGGGTCGGCCTGCTATATACAGTTGAGGAAAAAATTATTAGCCCCCATATGAAAATCTCATTGTTTTTTTTTTTTTTTTTTTTTTTTCCAACTTTATTTATTGAACACTTTTCAAACCAATAAATCCCGACATACAAAACAGCACGCATAATTACAAAGGTTGTAATTGTAACAGGTCAAGTTGCATGACAAGAACCCACCCAACTCCCTGAACACGAGGCCAGACATAGATACATAGACACACACATACACGTATCATTAGCAACGAACAGATATAAAGAATTTAGGAATATAAAGAAAGAAATTAAAAATAAATAAATAATAATAATAAGAAGAATAATACATACTAATAGTAATAATAATAACAATAATAACAAAATAAATAAAACAGGGCAGCAACACTTGTCAATCATTCTCCAAATCAACAGAGTCAGCATATTGCAAAAAAGAATCCCAGGTGTCATGAAATGACTTAACTGATCCATTTATTGAAAACCTCAGCTTCTCTAACTTCAAGTTATACAGCACCTCCCGAATCCAGCGAGAGGGTGAAGGGGGCTGGGGAAGTTTCCAATTGAGCAGAATCAGCCTGCGGGCTAATAATGTAGTAAAAGCTAGAGCTCGAGTAAATGATTTTGGCAAACCTACGGAAGGGGGAATACCAAAAATTGCAGACAGTGGATTTGGGACTATCTTACAGCTGTAGGCCCTGCTCAAAGTGTCAAAAATGTATGTCCAGTAAGGCCCCAACCTGGGACATAGCCAGAACATATGTACATGGTTCGCTGGAGACATATTGCATCTATAGCAGGCGTCATTTATTGAAGGATAAATTTTCGCCAGTCTAGCATTAGTGTAATGGGCCCGAAAGAAAACCTTTCATTGAATTAAACGGTGATGAGCGCAAATGGATGATGAGTGAACAAGAGACAAAGCAGAGTTCCATTGCTGTTCGGAAAATTTAACGTTAAGGCTTTCCTCCCATACACTTCTAATGGCAAAAAGGGACGTTGAAGACGTTGACCAAATGGATTTGTACAAAACTGAAATGCAACCCTTTGCAACAGGGTCCACGGAGAGAAGAGTGTCTAGCAAGGTTTCTGGAGGACGGTTTGGAAAATGGGGAAACTGTTTCTTAACAAAATCCCTAATTTGAAAAAAACGGAAGAGATGATGATTGGGGAGGTTATATGCAGTGGAAAGCTGTTCAAACAAAGAAAATATATTGTCTGTATACAAATCACTAATCGATTTTATACCATTGTTATGCCAAACCCGAAACACTGGATTACTTCTAGATGGTTCAAAAGCACAATTTCGATAAACAGAGGTTAAAAAAATCTCATTGTTTTAAAAATATTTCCCAAGTGCAGTTAAATACAGCAAATAATATTTAACATGGCTTTTTTTAGACATCTCAGTTTTATTTTGAATGCTTACATCATTTTACTTTTCACACAGAAATGAAAATATGCCACAGAAACCAAAAACTACCATGGTCAAAATTATTAGCCCTCTGGATATCAATAGTCAATTGTGTATCCTTTTTTGTTGGATAACAGCCTGCAGTCATTTGTTGTTGTTTTCAACAAGTCTCTGACAGTTCATCTGAGGAATCCCAGCCCATTCTTTGGTAAATCTCTCAAGCTCCTCCAGATTTGATGGCCTTCTGGCATGGACCTTCTTCTTTAGTTCACCCCACAGATTTTCTATTGGATTTAAGTCAGGGCTTTGTGTAGGCCACTTTGGTCTTCTGGAGATAGTTCTTCACCAGGAGAGACGTATGTTTGGGATCGTTGTCGTGTTGCAAGACGAAGTGACAACCCAGATCCAGTTTTGCTGCCTACTGCTTAAGGTTTTCTTTTAAGATCTCCACATATATTTCTTTGTTCATAGTTCCTTCCACCTTGACAACATTTGCAGTTCCTGATGCACTGAAGCATCCCCACAACATAATGCTCCCACCACCGTGTTTCACTGTGGGGACGGTGTTCTTTGGGTTATACGCCTCTCCCTTCCTTCTCCAAACATTAGCAGTGTCTCTATGGCCAAAGAGCTCTAGTTTAGTCTCATCTGACCATCGAACATGCTTCCAGTATACATCATCTTTCTCCAGGTTGTCCTGAGCATACTTTAGTCTGGCTTGAAGGTGTCTCTTCTGCAAAAGTGGAGTCCTTCTTGGTCTGCAGTCTCGAAGTCCATTCCTGTACAGAGCTCTAGTGATTGTCTTCTTTGACTTCTTTGAGACCACCATTCCCGACTTGGCCAAGTCATTCTTTAGTGTCTTGGCAGTTGTTCTGGGGTCTTTGGACACATCTCTCACTAGTTTCCTTTCCAGGATCTTTGAAATATTTCGCTTCCTACCTCTGCCAGGCTTCTTCTGTACTGTGTGGCTCTCTTTGAATTTCCAGATTATATTTCTCACTCCAGTTCTTAACACTTGGAAACACTGTTGTAACTTTGTATATCCTTCTCTTGCTTTGTGTGCATCAACAATTCCTTTTCTCAAGTCCAAGCTGATTTCTTTTGTTTTTGGCATGGTGCTTTCTCAAATGACAGCTGAATGACCCTTAATGAGGATTTTACACTCAGTTGTATACCTTCAGTTTTAACTTAATTGTTAAGTTAAATCACCTGTGAAGTTAAAGCACATTGTTATACATAAGTGGCTTGTACAATGGCTCAATAAATTGTAATTTCTTAAAGGGGGCTAATAATATTGTCCCTGGTCATTTTTGTTTTTTTCTGAAATAATTCTGCTATTGTGTGCAAATATAAATAATTTATTCCTTCTAAAGAAAACTAATATGTTCAGAAATGCTACGTTGAAAATTCCTTGCTTTGTTAAAAATGCACTTTGGAAAATCTTGAAGAAACTTCAAATTTCATAGGGGGGCTAATGATTTTGTCCTCAACTGTACCGTCCAGTTGCTACTGATGGGGAACCAACCACGTACCAATTAAGTGGATAACTTTGTGAATCTGTCATCAGTACAGTCTCCACTGTTGAACTAGGCAGTATTGTTATACCGATGCAGCGAAGATGTCTGAGATGTGGATGATGTTGATTCCTACTGGCTGCTAAAGAATAGTCTTAGAGGTGAATCATTCAACACTTTGAGATCTTAAAAGCAGAGCGACATAGGGATGTGGCATGACCTCAGTTGCATTTGCAGGTATCCGCCAGCTTCAGCTGATGCTGCTGAAGGTGGCGCTGCTTCTGGGCATCGAAATCCACGTCAATGTGGAGTTCAAGGGTTTAGTGGAACCCCCAGAGGATCAGGAGAAAGCGAGTAAGTTCTCCACCTTCCTGCAGTCTGGAGGGAGTTGGACCAAAATGGCTGCTGGCAGTAGCTACTTGAAAAGCAGATCAACCCTCTATTGGGGTAATAGCAATGTTGCTGCTCCTGCGTATATTGTTAATGTCTCACCTGAATGAGCATTTAATTCTACTCTGCAGGAATCGGATGGAGAACTGTGGTCCATCCCAGGACACACCCCGTGAATGAGATGGAGTTCGACATTGTCATTGGGGCAGATGGGAGGAGGAACACTCTGTCAGGTATGGACACAAGTGAAGAATATTCCCAGAGGGACTGGAACCTGGAGCACTACCTCGAATGGGCTGAAAAGCATGGTGACTCGCATTAGGTTGATTAATGGTCTTATTTGCATTTGTTTTTCAATTTCTTGCTGTTTGTGTGTCAGTTGGTCTCCATTTCTGTCTGTGCTTTACTGTTTTGTTCTTCCTGTTTCTGTGAAATTTGCCAGACAGAAGATAGCTTTGCCAAAGCATTAAAAATAAATTAAATCAGAAAGCGTAAAAAGGCATAGCTAAATAACGAAATAATGACAGAAGGACGGGGGATATGGTTCCTTCCACTGTGACTGTATCTTCACACAGGCCTAGTGAGGCCTTTCAGGGGTCTGTCTGCCCTAAGGGTCTCAGTTGCTCCCTCCTGGCATTCATCCAGCACATGCCGCTTCTGCTGTCCATGGTGTGGGGGAAGGGAGAATGCACTAATGTGCGAGACCCTCACCCCTGTCACTAGGGTCCTTCCTGCTGGCCACAGGATAAACTGTTGTTTGTGGCTGGTGTCCATGTCCTCTGCTATGTTTGGTGGTAGAGAGATACGATATGTGGAACTCATTCACTTTGATCTCCTTACCCCCATGTGACCTTCTTTCTCCCTGGTTCCACCCCTCCCTGCTGCTGCCTAGGGTTTAAGAGGAAGGAGTTCCGGGGCAAGCTGGCCATTGCCATCACGGCAAACTTCATAAACCGCAACACAACTGCTGAGGCCAAGGTGGAGGAGATCAGTGGCGTGGCCTTCATCTTCAACCAGAAGTTTTTCCAGGACCTCAGGGAAGCCACAGGTCAGCAGTGTGTAGTTTCAAGTTTCATAATGACCTTAGCCACTCTCCAGCTCAATCAAGTCGATCATTTAAATGTAAAATCACAGATGATGGCGACAGAAAATTGACCAAGGTGAATATAAATAGATGAATTTGTTTGTGGACCTTTTTCTTTCTAAACAACTGTTGGTCAGTTCTTCTACTCTGTGCCTCCATCTCTCATTGCATTGGGAGTCACTTAAGAGAAATGTAATTAATTTTTCCTGTGAATTATGAGTATGAGATTTTGTCTTCCTTAGACTAGCCTGATCTCAGCATCCATGTCTTTTGTGTGACTAATTTTGCAGTGATAGAGGTGTGAGATGGGAAACTGACTTACTACTTTAACCATTCCCAGGAATTGACCTGGAAAACATTGTTTACTATAAGGATGACACCCACTACTTTGTCATGACTGCCAAAAAGCAGAGTCTTCTGGAAAAAGGAGTCATTCTGCACGTGAGTCTGCCATTTGTCATGTTCATGTGTGATGTTTACACGCACATGGTACGACACTCACTACTCTTACTCCTACTCTTAGGGGGTGTTCCACAAAGCAGATTTTCTCAGTTAGCTGGGTTAACTTGAGCTAGAAGTCATGACTGTCCAATAGGAATGCTCCTTTCCTTAACTGTTATTAGACGGTCATGATTTCTAACTTAAGTTAACCCCCACACCCCCTGGTGTGGTGTCCAGCATTTTGTTTTTAATATGGGGTGGTGTTGATCAAGGGTATAGAGCCCTCTGCTATTCTTCACTGTGAGCTATTTCAGTGACGTACCACGCTATTTGGCTGATTACGGGGCAATTGGCACTGGGCCAGAGAGGAGTGAATCTGTGAGCTGCTACAAAGTGAGGAAACATGACAGGAAGACTGCTGTCCCATTATTCTGTTAGCATTAGCGTTCCAGTAGCAGATGCTAGTCTTATATGACAGCTTGAAGAAAGGAACAGCCATCTTGTATCTGTTCCAGGAGCTTTGCTAGGCTGCAGTATTTCTGCTGCCCATCTCTGTCACAAAACAGCATAGCTGTGATTTTGACTTTATCTTTAGCCAATTGATCGCTGAGTCACGGGAGGCCAGTCTGATTGATTGATTGATTGATTGATTGATTGATTGATTATATTTCAGTTTAGGCCAGCATTGGTCATACGGTGAGTGAGTTTGTGCTCAGTATGTTCAGTGACTGACTCTCTCCCCCCCCCCTTTCAGATCATTGGCCATGGCTAATCTGTCCCCCCCTTCCTCATAGGACTATGCTGACACGGAGCTGCTGCTCTCCCGGGGCAATGTGGACCAGATCGCCCTGCTGGCCTATGCCCGCCAGGCTGCTGACTTCTCCACCAACCACCAGCTGCCCACGCTGGACTTTGCCATCAACCACTATGGGCAGCCGGACGTGGCCATGTTTGACTTCACTTGCATGTATGCATCAGAGAACGCAGCGTTGGTGCGTCAGCGTAATGGGCACCAACTGCTGGTGGCGCTGGTGGGGGACAGCCTGCTGGAGGTGAGGGGGATGGGGTGTGGAGGGTTTTGGGTGAGGGAGTGAGAGGAAGAGCTTGTTGAAGGTGAGGTGGAGAGATGGAGGGATGAGGGAGGAATGAGAGAGAGAGAAAACCTGGTGAATATGTGGAGCCCAGGTAATCGTGCTCCCTACTGGCTTCCCCAGCCTTTCTGGCCCATGGGCACAGGCATCGCACGGGGCTTCCTGGCCGCCATGGACTCTGCATGGATGGTGCGCAGTTGGGCTCTAGGCTGCCCCCCGCTGGAGGTGCTGGCTGAGAGGTGAGCAAGGTGGTGTGGTGGGGTATTGGAAGCCAAGTTTATTTGGAATGGGCCTCTTCTGTTTCACTCTACAGGGTCACTGAGGCAGGGGGGAACACAGGAAAATAAATGTTTGGAAATTGAATTCAGGCGTAGGAATGGGGAACGCTAATATGGAACAGGGGTCAGCACTGGGACAGCTCTATGGGGGTGGGGGGCACCATGCATATATACATACAAACAGTGAGCTTGGGGCATGGGAGCAGCTCTGATCACGTGACTTTTCCTTTCAATTGAAAACACTCTTCCCCTCCATCACAGAGAAAGCATCTACCGACTTCTACCCCAGACCACCCCCGAGAACGTGAGCAAGAACTTTAGCCAGTACAGTGTGGACCCCACTACACGCTACCCCAACGTCAGCCTCAACTTGCTGGGCCCTGGCCAGGTGTGGATTATGTTTATATTACATTTTGAGGACCAAATGTCCCTCACAATGTGATAAAAACCTGTTATTCTGACATTGTGAGGACCATTTTTCAGGTCCCTACAAAGATCAGTAAATGCAGTAAAAAACCTAAAAATGCCAAACACTTAAATTTTTTTTTTGGTTACTTATGGTTAAAGTTAGGGCTAGGTAAGGGTTAAGGTTGTCATGTCGTGATTAGAGTTTTCCCCACAGAAATGAATGAGAGTCCCCACAAAGATATAATTACAACCCTGTGCGTGTGTATGCGTGCGAGTGCATGTTTTTGTAATTATTATATATGGCCACCAGACTTTCCCACAATTAAAACCTAACTGTTAAAACCTGTAACTTTTTACTTTTTGGGGATAAGGGGGGACTAAGGTTGCCATAGTTGGAATTACAGTTATTATAGAAATAAATATTCCCCCCTAAAGATATGAATATGTGGACTGCGTCTGTGTTTGGCCTTCATGTGGGCCCTCCACATGGTCAAATAAGTCCTGGTGGAGAGTGGGATGGACAATAGTGACAGTGATTATGGTGCTGGTGCTAACCATGTGATGACCATGTCTTTCACAGGTGCGCCATCTCATAGACACGGGTGAAACTGACAACACAGTCGGCTCTTCCACGCCCAAGCTGTTGCGAAATGGTGAGTGGCAGTCACAAGGTTTGCGTGCGCAACTGGCCCTGCCTGACCAAAACTCCCTACAGTCAGACGGTCTGCTGCCTTTACTCTGATGCGATTATGAACGTAAAAATATATTTCTCATTCTAGAAAACTCTCAAGTTATGAGAGTCTTGCAAGGTAACAATGGAGATGATATTAAAGATGGCTGTTTGCATGTGTGATTTTTTGCTTAGTGGTTTAGTGGAAAAAAAAGCTGCCTGGCACTTAATCGCAGTAGTGATTTTTGCTGTTTGGTGTGTGGCTCTGTGGCATACAAGTCAATGCCCGTGTCCAGAAGGTTGTTGGTTCGTATCTCGTGGCTGGCAAAGTGATTTCACTGTTGAGCCTTTCAACAAAGCCCTTAACCCCAGTTGCTCCAGACAAATTGTCTGCTAAGAAAACAAATGGGATAGCATGATGCTTTCAAAAAAGACAGGCCTGAATATTTTGTTGAGAATTATGCTGCAATGCTACAGGCCCTTATGACTTGAAGGATTTTCTTGGTTTGGACATGTGACTAACATGTTATGCTGTCATAGGGTACACCGTTCACAAGAAAGCAGGACTTATAGATAACTTTGTCCTTACCATTTTTTTCAGAATCCATTGCACGTTCCAACAAGTTGCTGAGCTGGTGCCAGCGGCAGACGGAGGGTTACCGGAATATAGCAGTCAGTGACCTGACCATGTCCTGGAAGAGCGGCCTTGCCCTGTGTGCCCTGATTCACCGCTTTCGGCCTGACCTCATGTGAGTCGATGCATATGGTGGACCTCGTGGTCCAAGCACAAACACCTGTGTGACTGTCCTAAGGCAAATCTTACCTCCAAACCCAAAACCTGTTTGAGATCATTTGTGATAATTGTAATGCTTAACTGATGATTTTATTTCAAACTTCAAATATGGCTTTCCATGGTTTACACAAAGAGTTTTATTTTAGAGGTAGAGCAGTACACAGATTTGTAAGCATGGGCAGTACCATCTGTAATCTGCCAAGCCTGCAGGCCTTCCTCAGCTTTCATGCTTTTCATGTTTTGAGCAGCTCCATGAGCTGGAGGCCTAGTATGTGCGGCTGGGAGAGTCACTGTTCTGCATGCCACGACAGGCTCCCCTAGCTGCCTGAACAGTGTTTCCAACTTGAATGAATCATTCTGCTGGCCTTCACTGACTGCTTCCTGAAGGTTTAGCATTGGACTGCTAACTGCTAGCTTGCTGAGCCCACAGAACTGTGGAAGAGCCTGAGCTGTAAGAGGCTCAGCGAGGTGGGTACACAGCTGAATGGGTGGGTGATGATAGGATGCTATGGCCACGGATGGACAGGGAGAAGATTATTTCTCATTGGTTGCATGCTGTAAGGTTACTTCTCTTTGGTTTAGTGTGTTGTAAGGTTATTTCTCATTGGTTGAGTGTACTGTCATGTATTTCTTTTATCCATCCACAGAGTGTTTGCTTAGTGAATGTGAGTGCCATTGCCCTTAAATCAAAGACTCTGATCTATCCTTTATCTTCCCATTGTGTCCTTTTTCCCCGGCAGAAACTATGACTTCTTGGAGGAGCAGGATGTGGAGAACAACAACCAGCTGGCATTTGACGTGGCTGAACGCGAGTTTGGCATCTGCCCCATCATGACTGGCAAAGACATGTCATCAGTCTCAGAGCCCGACAAGCTTTCCATGGTCATGTACCTTAGCCAGTTCTATGAGATGTTCAAGGACACAGTGCCCCCTGGTGGTGAGCAATGGACATGCACAGCCTGACATAGGGCATCCCTTTTGGTTGCTGTCATTTCCCTAAAGGCTTTAATCCCCCTTTCAGAAAACCAGAACCTAAGTCCCGAGGAGAAGGCAGCTCTGATTGCCAGCACCAAGTCACCCATCTCCTTCCTGAACAAGCTGGGCCAGAGTATTTCTCGTAAGCGTAACCCTAAGGTAGGCATCTCCCAGGCTTTCCTCTCACACTCATCCTTGCCCAGACTACAGGATAGGCCAAGTGACTCTGACTCTGAAGACAGATACATTAGCTCTGACTCCTCATCCTCATTTGATTGATCAATAGCATTTTGTAGCTGCCTTAGGCTTACATTGATGCATATTTCTACCTTAGCAATGAAGCTAATTATCACTGTGAAGCCTGAAGCTATCAATTAGTGCTTTAATGGATAAAGCTCAATTTATCATCAACATAACTCTTCTTAATGGCTGGTGTAGAGCTTCACTGGCTGTGTCCTCTTTTCCAGGACAAGAAGGAGAAGGATCTGGAAGCTGGGAAGAGGAGAAAGACGAGCCAGGCTGGCCAGTCGGAGGATGTGAGCAATGGTTTGATGTTGGGGTTTCTGGATGTTTTAATGCAGTACAGCTTCGTCAGGGGTGAGATGCGGGAGGGCAAGCGTAGCATTGTGTGTCAGGTTCCAGAAGTTCTGGAAAGGACCTTCTGCAGTTCGTATGCCATGGTCGAAACTGAGATGGAGGTTAAGTCTGCCCACTTGCATGGTGTGAGTAAAACCAATCACTCACCAGGCCAGAGGGCTTCCCAGTCTGCCAGGTTGGCTGGTTCCTCCTTGTCCAGCCCAATGATGCCAAAATCTCTGAGCAGGAGATGCTTTGTCTGAACATAATGTATTTTCTGGTTGAGTGTGTGACCAAAAAGTCCTCTGCCCCCCAGGAGGATCACGGGCCATCGCATTCCTCCCCTCTGCGGGAAAGGAAGGCCCCATGTAACTCCTGCACCCCAACCGGTGCTAGCCACACCAGGGTCAAGTCCATGGCCACCCAGCTGCAGGCCAAGTTCGAGGAGAGCACTCCCACGCCGGCCCTAACCTCGGCCCCGGGACTGAAGCAACAGGTACGCCCAACGTGGATTACGGTGGAAACCACCTCTCAGATCCAGTGCCTAGGATTCCTGGTACTTCACACACCAGTGAATGAGCCAAGTTATTCGATGCACACTACACACGTTGACAAAGGGAGTCACCGAACGGCCAGCCTGTGATGGCAACCCAGAGCATTGATAGCCAAGCAGAGCAGAGCAGCCATTTATACCGTCACATTATGCTTATAAATCTCTGTGCTTTGTATCTGACCTTGTTTTCCTGGGTTCGAGGGGATGGTTGAATTTAATTATTCTGGATGAGGTCTGCTGGATGTGTCGCAGTCAGAGGGGGAGGCATCCGAACCCAGGAAATGAGGGAAGGTCATTTTTAAGATGAGCCTTCTACTTCTTACCAGATTAGATATTCAGGATATCCTCTGTACGTCTGCATGTCTGTGTGAATCCCGTGTGTGTGCGTGTGTGTTTGAAGGTCATATATATATACACACATACACATATATATCCTACTCCTTAATCAGTGGCTGGGATCCTGTATAGATAGATAGCCTTTATTGTCCTATAAGGATATTTGTCTTCACTGTGTGTTCCAATACAAACACAAGTACATTACAGGCCCCTAACATGTTGAACATGTTAGGCACAGATACATAAAACGGCACACATAAACATATACACACAATTAGTAGCGTAGATTTGATGGGTACAAAATTAATGTGGCAAGTTAAGTGCAGCTATGGCAGTAGGGACGAAACTCTTCTGAAAGCGAGCCTGTTTCCATACTGCATATTACTGTATATCTGGCTTTTGCTAGCCATCACCATGTATTGTAACTAGCAACGTCTGTTGGCTGAAGTGTACTAGTGGATGTGTCCGCTCCAATGTTTATGATGCGCTTCACGTCATTGTGTACCTCCACGGGTGAATGCCTGCTGTACTCAAGATTTGTGTCCATGCAGTGGTGTACCCGCAGCTCTGGACACACTGCACATGATTGATTTGCTGACTTCCACTTTAAATACCAACATGGATACTTTTGACAAGTGTCGGGGTAGTTTGCAAAACCTACAGACTTTTCACATGGTATTAAAACTGTTACTTACATGTAAATGTTTGCGTAAGTAAGTGCAGACTTGTCTTCAATTGAAAATGTCACGCCAGCCAGCTGACCAAAGTTGGCAACCCTGTGAGCTGGTTCTCTGACTTTGTAAAACATAGAGAAATGGACACAAACATCACTGCCGTGGTACGTGTGCAGGGAATATCAGAATATTTTATATCATTAATAATATGCGGCTTGAAGTATGAACATTTCTGTGTACACATATGCAGAGTCGATACGCGAGTGTTGCGCCTGTGCGGTGAAGTATGAACTGGTCTTAAGCATGTTGGTATTTCTCCTTTCCGCAGTAAGTGTATGTGTGAAATTTTGGCTTACTAGAACTGTAGCTATGGAAATCTGCACTTGCTCGGTGAGGGGAAAATGGTCTGGACCCAGAGACATACCTGAAGAGAGCTATTTAACTCCTTTGTACTCTGCTGCCAGCCCTCCTTCTTCCTGATCCTCCTGCCTTTGTACTCATTCGTTTTATCTTTATAAAGCGTCCATTCAAGAATTTTCATCGCAACATGTGCTTATGACTATTGCTCAGAGGAAGCTATGTGGCATTAACACCTATAATATGAGGTTGCAGTCAGGCAAGACATCCTAAGGAAGAATGACTACCATGATTCCTACCTCGTCCTAACAATGCAGTAACCCAGTCTATTCAAATCTGGTGCTGGTCACTTGGGTTTTGTTGCCGTTTTATGTTATAGATGTGTAGCGGTATTTAGTGACAGCTGGAGCCCAGGGCTCTGTGTGCAGACTGGAAGTGTGCCTCCTTGTGTGTAGGCGGGCTGGCCCTTCGGATGGTCTGGCATTTATTCAGGGAGATGATATCAGTAAGAGGCTCAGTCAGTATCACATACACATTCAGTGTCAGAGACTCAGAAACAGGGAGGCTTCAATGAGTCCCTGCTGGATCCTCCCCAGCATGCCGCTTATTCAGCTGGCTCCCCCAGATTAGGTTGCTGCTGCCCTGGCCTCACTTTTAATGGCTGTCTCTCTGCCTTGCAGTGCATTGACAGGGGGGTGGACACGGATGAGGCCCCAGTAGAGCAGCCTTCGACTGATGGGGTAACCGTAGCTTTCCCTCGAAATGGTGGAAGGGGGGTCCTTCCTGGAATTTTACCTCTCAGTCGTCACTGTGTACCCCGGTGGCACCCCGGGCAAAGCTTGTGCACTTCTGTGGCATGTGTTTCGCTTCAATGGGTTCTGCTTGTATTCTTGCTGCTGGCCCAGGTGTCTGCAGAACCTCTGCCCACAGAATTATAACGTTCGTCAGACCTTGCCACTAGCTGCAGCTGAAACTTTGCACCTTTGACCCTGAAAGTGACAGAACACTGGTTTGGGGTGTGTATCTCCTGCAAAACCTCACTGATGCAGAAAATGGCGATATGGAGTGTCATGAGGCCTGTTTTGGAGGGAAACCCTCCACTTTTCACACAGGCTCACTTGGCCTCTTCCTATAGGAGTGGTGGCGGTGCCCCCCAAGGGAGCAGAAGACTGTGCGCTCCCCCAGTATTCAGGAGAGGGCTGCCCTACTGGCCTGCCTCCTCTCGGGGAAGCCTGTGAAGACTCAGGTGACGTGTCCCCAACTTTGCTGGTTGGAGAGAGCACTGACACACACGTGTGTAGCTACATAGTTCATGTAGCGTTTATACAGCTCACAGACTGAGAGGAGCATAGATCCAGCACTGGATGCACACATCATGACACCACACATTTGTCTAGCAGATACTGATACAGAAGCCAGGTAGAGCAGCACCATGTATGAACATGCAGTTTCAGTCAAGAAGCCGTGTCTATCACTTACACATGTGGTTGGGATTACCTGCTAATACCTCCTAATACAACCTGCCTGAGTGCAAATGCTGTCTTGTGTCTCATCTCTGTGGCTTGTGATTGTTCTCCCGGAGGCTAAGGACCAGTCCTGGATGGCCCATGTAGAGGACCAGCTCCTCTCCGGGGCACCCCCTTCCCCTGACACCTTCAGACAGGTAGCACATTGTGGTCTGCAGTGTGGCTGTCTGCTAACCTCCTGCCTCTGCTGCAGGGAGGAGGCCCTGTATAACAGAGAGCCCTCACAGTCATTATAGGAGAGGAGCCTCATATTACTGCATGCTAACAGTGGCTCTTCACTGCTGCTATAGGAGAGGGTTCCCATATGACCACACGCTAACAGTGGCCCTTCACAGCTGCTATTGGAGAGGGGCCCCATGTGACAGCACGCTAACAGGGACCCTGTATGACTGCATGATTACAGGGGCCCTTCACAGCTGCTATTGGAGAGGGAACCCATATGACGGCATGCTAGCAGGGGGTGTCTTTCTCTTAAAAATGCCCTGCAATGTAAAGCTTTAACCTCTTGCTCCTGTCATGGGAAAGAGAGCTTTTATAATCTAGTTTATTGCTACTCTCTACAGAAGAGCTGTTCCTTTGTTTGGTGAAATTTTGCACAGTGGCAAGCTTTTTAATAAATAATGCTAGAATACACAATCTGCTATAGTCCAAATTACTTTTTATGTTTGTGGTGAAACTCTGAAAATCGAGAATTCACCGTTCAATTCTTCCCGGTACCACAAGATTATGGTCTTGTTGTCCAATTTGAACAAAGATCACTCATGCCATATGTGCTGGGAGTATTTTATAGCTTACCAGAAATGTTTTACTATTGAATTTATTCAATTGCAGTTCTGGAAGTGCAAGCGTGATGAGTCACATCTGTTGGGTGTAGTTTGAGGATATGGTATTGTGTAATATGGCTGAGCCACAGGCTGAGACAGTGAAAGTTATCACAGCTTGTTTTTCTTCTGTTTTGATACCGCTGAGCACAAAGCATGCTGGGCAGCATTTTGCATTTTTGCAAAGGTCTTCAAACTGAAGTTCTTTTCTCCTTTAGTATTTCACATGTGCCAGTTTTTTAAGAATAAAGAAATTTGTTTTCTCTTATTGACTTTTTGTTTGCTTTCCATCTTCTCTGTCCTTTTTCATCCTGTCAATGGTAGAGATATGTTAAATTATATACAGGGGGAGTGTGCTCATTTGCTGAACAGTTAGCCAATCAGCTTCAAACTCATGAGGAACCCAAACCTTTTCTTGACAAGAAGGAATTGGTAAGAGCCAATGGAAATTGAAGCCAAATACTAAAAAACAGTGTGATGTGGCACCATATTCAGAGTGCATTTAGTGTGTAATGCTGGAAGTACAGAATTGTGGTAACCTTATGCTGCTGGTGGTGAAATCTTGTGTACTTGTTCTACCAATGCTTTGGTCAATGCTGGATATCCTTGGTATCCTGATGTCAAGAAAAGCTCAGCATCTTTGGTGAGGATGTTCAATGTGTCCTTCTGCTAAGATTCTGCTCATTGACAGTTGTGCTTGGTCCTTTCTGAGGATGTTGCTTGCATTATTTAGTACCCAAGGAGATCAAGGGGAGCCTTTCTTGTTTGCTTAATGGCACTCTCAGTTCTGGGTCTCTCCGGTCCTTCCCAGCATCCTCTGAAAGACTGTTTGCTTCGCCACACAGAGTTCCCTGCGGAAGGAGTTCCCACAGAACATTGGGGGCAGCGATGTCTGCTACTTCTGCAGCAAACGTGTGTATGTGATGGAGCGCCTGAGCGCCGAGGCCAAGTTCTTCCACCGGAGCTGCTTCAAGTGCGACTACTGTGGAACCACATTGCGCCTGTCCTCTTATGCCTTTGACCTGGAGGACGGTAAGGGTACCATCATGGAAGTGGCTGCTGATATGGGTTCCACATTCGGAACCACAGGGTTTATGGTTCAAATCCCAGCAGGTAGTGAAAAAGGTCCTGTGTCCAGGTTGTTATCCTGGACTAAATAGTTTACTATTTAGTACTACTTAAAGATACTAAATTCTCACCTGCGCATAGGAGTCACCAGTTATAAGTGAAAAGGGTAAATAATCTGATGGCTGGATTCTCCCTGGCAACTTTTATGGATCTATGGAATGGAATTTGAGCTACTTTGGAGGTGACAGCAATTAGTGTTGCGGGATCATTCTGCCAGTGAGTGGTATAGTGGTGCAATGATGCCTTTTTTTATTCTGTATCCCAGAAAAATCGGCTGTTTCCTTGCTAATGCACCTCTGCTTCTCCTTTCCCATCGCTTTCTCAGGCAAATTCTACTGTAAACCGCACTACTGCTACCGCCTGTCGGGTCAGGCCCTGAGGAAGAGGCCCGCTCCAGTTGGACCGGTTCCAGCCCAAAAGGTACCATCTTTTCTTCTTCATCATGAATCCAAAGTTTCATAGCATGTGTACAATAAGTATCTGAGGTGTACAGATATCTATTTTCTGTGAGCACTTATTCTGTACTGGGGTGCACTGAGCCTGGTTCCTGTCCCAGGAATGGGATACAAGGTGGGTGGGAGCCTGGGATGGATGTTAGTATAGGCAGTGTTGGGCAAGCTACTTGTAAAGTGTAGTGAGCTAAGCTATCAGTTACTCAACAATAAATTAAGCTTCACTACACAAAAGCTACCACCCATAGAAATATACACAAATACACAAATATGGCAAAAGTAGCTTACTCCATCAGAAGCTACTTCACGTTGTACCAACCTAATACCAGATCAGTGCAAAATGACAGTCAGATACACTGGTTAAGACATTTATTAAAGAACAACCCATGATTTAACAGTGTAGACAATGCGTTATGTGAAGCATCGAGACATAAATAAAAGCTTACTTCTGGGAATAAAACAAAAAAAAAAAGTTATTGGCCTACTACTAGGCAAACCAATACTCTAGTAAACAAACTATTTAGTACCAAATGAAAGCTACTGTTTAGTGTTCGATGGGCAAGACATGGCTATAGGTTTAAACCAATCAATTTAAAATTTCTAGGGAAAAGAAAAAACATATTAACAGCCATCTTATTTCCTCAGGGCCTCCCTAAACAAGAAAACTTCTTCAGACCCCAATTAAACAAGTCGATTGAAGTTACAAATGAACTTTGTGTTTAAGAAACGTGTTAAACTGTGTTTACGGACGACATGGAACACCATGATTAATGAGCATGGCTCAGAGAGTGATCACTGGAACAATAGCAAATGAACTGGTCCAAACTGAAATGAGAATCAAAGTCTTGAATTACATGTTTTACTGTGTTGTATCTATACTTTTTAATAACTAAGGTGGATGCATCATCAAATTGCTAAAGCTGGATTCATTTTCATTACTTTTAAAAATTTTTTATTTATTAATTATTTAAAACCCAGGACAGAATTTGGGCAAAGTCTATAAGTAAATAAATACTGTAGCGCGGAGGCACCGGCGGGCAGCGCAGCATGTTGGACTGATGCCAGCTTGTAAATACTGTAGTTCTCAGTAATCGCTTGTGTCATAATTGTGCTGTGTTATGTCATGTATAATCGTTAATGTTTATTGTTGTACGTAGTGTGCGTGAGGAGTAAATGGGGCGACATGCACGGTGGGCAGTGCGAGTGTGTGGGGGCAGCATGTGGCTCAGTGGGCTAAGCCTGTGTGCTTGTAATCACAAGGTCGCAGGTTCAAACCCAGCCTCAGCATGTCTGCGGGTCCTTGAGCAAGGCCCTTAACCCCCAGCTCCCTGGGCACCCCAACAGGTGGCTGCCCTTCACAGACAGCGTGTTCTACAAAGAGCAGGTGGAGGGAGGCATAAAAAGAATTTCACCCTGAGGGACAATAAAGGTTAATTATTATTATTATTATTATTATCATTATTATTATTAATACAGGTGTAATAAACGTGATTAAACCCCGAACTACCTCTGCTGTTTAATTGTTGCGAGAGGTTCGGCGGCCCACTAGTTCAATACTTTATTGTAAATATTAAACTGTGTGTGTATGTGCTCGCGCAAGTGAGCCTGTTTGCTTGCCTGGCGCCGCTGAGTCACGTGAGCAGCATCGCTTACACAGACAGCCGCAGTGCATTCAGGACAGAAATTGAAACTGAAGTATCGATCTCATGATGCTACCATACGCATCCATGTTTCGATAGACAGGCAGTAGAAGCAGAGTACAAGGTCGCGCATGAACATGCTTTATTTCTGTCTGATTGTTGCGTTTCAAAATCATACTGCAGAGGAAACCTCTGCTTTTCTCAGACATGTCCTGGAAATTGTAGCTTTTGTGGACACTACGTCGCTACTTGATCAAAAAAATAACGTAACTACTGGAAAGTTATTTGATTCAGAAATCAGCGATGCTACAGACAAGCTACTAGAAAATGTATTTAAACTAATAGCTTCGCTACATGTAGCGGCGCTACCGCCCATCACTGAGTATAGGCAGGGAACATACACTCATATAAGGTCACATGCAATGAGCAGTTTAGAGACATCAGTCCACTTAAATTGGATGTCTTTCTGCCATGGGAAGAACATTAGTACCTGAAGGAAACCCACAAAGAAATAAGATACAACCTGTACACGCATATGATTCATAACATTAACTCTTCACCCTGAAGGTGTGAGGTCATTGTGATCACCATGTGATCATGCCCTAGCCTTGTGCACTGGACTGCCTGGGGTAGTCTCCCACCCCCACAGTGACCAGTATAAGAGCTTAGAAGATGGATGAATATTGTTGTAAATATAAATATGCTGTATTAGCATGAAATTATCATTGTTTATGATTAAATAGCAGTAATGCCTGTCAGATGCTTGTTAGCATGGTTTGTGGCTGGTGTTGTATATGCGGACAACAGAGGCTCTGGTCCCAGCTGAAAGTTGATTGGCTGGAGAGTGTCCTCTCCCCTGCCACTCATCAATTCAAAACATATCATAAGCTAATAATAAGTTTGGTCCTTTTGCATAATTTATGGCCGTTCTTATGCTCCCCACCTTAAAAAAACATCACCCCTGGTTGTTGGATAACTTGACCATCTTGTTGGATGTTCTCTGGGAGAGTGCTAAGCTGCAAAGCCTTCTGGGTAAACGAGTTTCCCGGTGTGGTTTCTTGTCCTCCAGGAGAGCCCTGCCATCCCGCCTGATGTGGCAACAGTGGACGGCCTAGCAGGGGCTGAGGCCACACCACCTCTGGCTGATCTCCGGCCCTCAGGTACCCCACTCTCCGGTCCAGGCCGTGTGGCCCTCCGACTTCCAAGGACCCCTGTGGCCGGTGCCCCACTGTGCCATGTGGCCAGACTGCTGAGTCGGGTGCTGTTCTGGCGCCACCGACAGGTGCTGCCCCTCAACGTGGCAGACTGCCTGTTCCTGTGCCAGCTTATTAGCTTTGGGGTCCCCTTTCTCTGTGCCTTGTTAGGGTTACTGGGGCAGATAGCCAGTGAGTGCTACACTGTCAGATGAACATTGATAGAAGGATTCAAGTGTTTGAGGAAACTGGTTTTTTTTTATGTTTGTTTACTTTCTGCCCATGTACTGCATACCCATGTTTCATTTGCTAATTTTTGTTTAAGTGCTGTTTGCTGTCACCACCTCTGTAAATGTGTGAGCCTGTGTCCCTGTGCTTGCCACCTTGCTCCTCTCTGGGGCGACCTGTTTATTCCCTGAAGATGCAGCATTGTCATCCATGCTGGGCTGTGGCCATTGTCGCAGAAGGCCTGGAGATGTGAGACATCTTCTAGTATGCCCTTTGACCTTCCTTTGCTGTGATGTGGTGTGAGGGTCCAGCTAGTTTTAATTATTGAAGAGACACTCATTCCAAGGGGAACCTGACAGCCATCTTCCTCTGGTCTGGATGAGTACAGTTACTAAACTCTGTTCAGCTTCTCCACATCACACAAAGGATGATCTCACTAGGACTGTAAGCTTTTGTGCAGCTTTGCTGTGAGGTATGTGACTGCTTTTGTGTCATTGGTCCTCTGTGATTAAGGCATCTTTGTGCTGTGATTGGTCCTCATTCTCTATATGTTGTGTAATTTGTCCTTTGTAATTACTCTTCTGCACACTATATGACTGGTCCCTTATCTTCTGCCAGCTCTGTGACTGGTTCTCTGCAATGGGTTCTCTGTGAACTCTGTGATTGGTCCTCTGCCATGTTTATGATTGGTCCTCTGCAATGGATCTTCTGCCAGCTCTGTGATTGGTCTTCTGTAATGGGTCCTTTGTGGGTTCTGTAATGGGTACTCTGTACGCATCATCTTTCTTCTCAGAGCTGAAGCCTGCATCACACTGTAACCCACTAACCCACAGCTTAATAACAGCACAGACTGCTGTCCACAAATTACCTGTACCTCTTCTGATGAATGGCTTTCAGAGTGATCATATTAATTAAGGTGAACAGTTGTGGAAATGTGACCCTTTCACACTGGGCTTTGCATGTTCATTAGGAGAGCATGCAGCTAGATGCTTGTTTTGGATAATATGTCTCACTGGCTCCGGCTGTCTTGTGCTTTTATCGCTGTTCTGTCATTTGACATTGACATTGACATTAACATTAACATTAATGAATTGTGCCACTGTGCCTTTAGGCTTCATGTTGTGTCTCTCTGCATGTGCATTTGTGTGTGTGTGTGTGTGTGTGTGTGTGTGTGTG